GGCGGGGGGGGTGGGGGAGAGTTGCTTCCCTAGTATAGATTCCTTCTTTAAAATAAAAGAAGGCTTTCCTTTAGAGAAAGAAATGCAGACATGGCTGCCATAAAACTCTTTAAGAGGTCAAGCATCCCATATCATATAACAGGCTGGCCTGGCCTTCCTACTATTCAGCAGAGGGAGGCAGTTCTCTCAGCAACAGAGATGGGCATGAACCCAAAAACGAACCAGGAAGTTCGTCAAACATCACTGGTTCATTGGTTCCGATCATTTCAGGTTCATGAATTGATTGATTGATTGATTGATTGATTGATTGATTGATTGATTGATTGATTGATTGATTGATTGATTGACTGATTGATTTCTCCTTTCCTGCCCTATACCTGGATACTTTGCCGATAAACTGAGAATGGTTGATCATGTATTTTTAGTGACTTTTACCTTTGGCTTTGTAATGGATTCTGTAGCGTTTGTCATTTTGTGAATTGCTTTAATATTTTTTCCGTGTGATCAGACACAATCCTTTCTCATCATTTGATTGCATATAAATATTTTTTGAAAAATATAAATGGTACCTTCAAAATCCTGTTAGTGTTTTTCCTCCTCAAGAGGAAATGGTTCCGCAGCCGAGGAAAAGCTGGCCCAGCTGACTGGCAGTTTCTAGGAGCTCTTGTTCAGAAAAGTAATTTTTTCCAGGCTCTGTAAGCTTTTACAGTAGCTTCCCAGCAACTTTGGGCCACTTTTATTTGCATCAAGCCTTCAGCACAACAGCAGCAACAAACCAGAGCCAGCTGTTAGTGGCTTTTCTCTCACTCCTGGTGAGGTGAGTCACAGTTAGTCACTTCCCTGTTCCTTCCTGCCCACAAACGCTTTTATTTGATAATCTTATCCTTCATCCCTCGAAAACAACTGGCCTTCTCCACATACTTTCCAAATAACAGAGAAATGATTCAGATCTTTTGGAAAAATCTGTCAGAAAACGAGAAAGCTCACAGGAAACATTCTCTCCCAAAGTTCCAACATTTCTTCAGAAAAAGGAATGTGTTCACCATTAGCCTTTAAGATTTGTGTGGTTAAACTCTGGAAGGACACCGAATTTCCTGAGGTTACATGCTGAGGTTAGAAGTAAGTGGGGAATTTCTTTCATTTTGTTTTTGTTTGTTTTTAATGTTGAGAAGCAATCAGATTTTATACAGTCATAAAATAAATCAGTGCTTCACAGCTTCTTGGAATACCTATACACCCAATTATTGGTTTCTGTGATTAGTATCTCGAAATCGATATAACCTTTCCTCTGAATCCCATATTGAAATAAATATGTATTTTACAATTGTATTCTTGGTGCATATTTTCCGTTCTCGATTTGAAAATATCAAACTTGGGATCTTAGTTCAGTTTCTTTTGCTGCTAAGCAACATCCATTGCAAACTAACAGCGCACAATGACTGCCAGAACTATTGTATTATCTTCTTCATAATTATGTTCTGGCCTTTGGATCATGATACTTCCACCACATCGTTACCATGAAGGCTTCTACCGAAACATTGAATGGGTTTATTGTACATCAGTGTGTTGTACTACAACCAACCTGTGGACTTTAACTGATATGAAAAGTAGGGAAAGAGACAAGAGTACATATCTCAGGAGGGAGGCCCACAATTCTGATGCTACTCCTGAAAAGATAAAACTTTCTGACGACTACCCACCAAAACCCAAAACTGAAATCCTGTTGCACAGTTATACAAATGGCATAACCTTTGGACAGAAATTACCATAAGTTTAGAATCACAGAATAACTGGGTTGAAAGGGACCTATAAGGCCATCAAGTCCAACCCTCTGTTTAGTGCAGAAATCCAAATCAAAACAGAACTGACAGAAGGTTGTCCAATTTCCTCTAGAATGCCTCCAGAGTTGGAACACTCACCACCTCCCAAGGTCATTGATTCCACTGCTCTATAAGTTAAGACATTTTTCCTGATATTCAGCTTCAATCTGGCTTCCTGTTGCTTGAGGCCATTGTTGCGTGTCCTGCACTACAGGATGACTGAAAACAGATCCTGCCCCTTCTCTTTATGACTACCTTTCAAGTATTTGAAAGAAATGTCTGTAAACGTTATCTCTTGCATACTGACTTGTGCAACTCAATGTACAACAGATAATAACATGGAGACTTCTTAATTTACGGCAGTTCAAATTTAAAAGTTAAGTCATTTGAGTAATTGCACAATAAGATTTCGGAGAGAAGGTGATGGCCACCAGAGAAGAGCCTCTCAAGCAATGCTCAGCTGGTGGGCATGATCACGTAAGTCCCTAGGAACAGTCAGACTTAATTCTGGGTATTTCTGAATAGGCATGCTCAGGATTACAGTGGTGCCTCGCTTAGCGAGTGCTTCGCTATGCGATGAATTCGCATAGCGAGGGGGTCCAGGCCATCGCTGGAGCATTCGCTCAGCGATGGCCCCTATGGCGATTTTTCGCTTTGCGATGATCGCTAAGCGATTCGCTTTGCGATCTTCGCAAAACGAAGCGGGGGAGAACAGCTGATCGGCGGTTCCAAAATGGCCGCCGGAAGGTCCGTGCCGCATTTTCGCGCCCTGCCCTCGCTTACCGAGGGCGCGAAAATGGCGGCGCTATGGAAGAAACATCGCTTAACGGTGAGTTTTCAAGCCATAGGAACGCATTGAACGAAGTTCAATGCATTTCTATGGCTTTTTTAGTCCCATTTAGCGATGTTTTCACATAGCGAAGGTTAATCCGGAACGGATTAACCTCGCTATGCGAGGCACCACTGTATATGGGACCTAATTTAAAAATATGAAGGACTTATTGAGGTAGAAACTGATAAAAGTGAGTTTGCCCTGTTGTTTTTAAACTTTCTTGTTATTTTTATACAATTGCCCTTGGAGTATTCAATCACTTTCCAATATATTTCACCACTAACCAGAGTTTCTAACATGACCTTCCTTTTAAACAAAAAAGCAAAAAAACCTTCAGATGCAATTACAAATTAGTCATAAAAAGGGCTGGCTAGTGAGTTGCAAACAGGCAACACTTGAGTATTAAATCACTCTACACTGTATGAAACCTGGCATTTAATCTATGGAAATTAACCTCCTTATTGGAATCCAACTGGGTACATAAATGTCACCAGTGCTTTAAAATGCCACACGGTTGCCAAGGTCACGGCGGTGTAAGTAAATCTGATGTATACCTTAGGCACAAGCATTGAGATAAATTCCCATGTGGGTTTTTTTAAAAGAATCATATTTAGAACTTAGAGCAAAGATCATTGTTCTAGCTTTGTTGGCACATCTTAATCCATGTTTTGTTTGTTAAGTTCTTTTATCAAGGCAAGGCTTACAATAAAATGCAGTGTAAAAAAATAAAATCAATATAACATGCGCAGAATAAAAAAGAAGAAGCAGCAGCAAGAACTGAGAATAAAAGTCATTTGGAACCAGAAAGAGTTTTCATTTGCTTTGTGGAAATTGGTGAGGTGGGTGCCAAGCCACCCTTGCAATATAGGTAATTCCATTAGCAAAGTGGCAACTTACATTATGCCCATCTGCTGTGCTTAAGATGTAGGGGCATACCTCCAAAAGGGGCATACCAAGCAACCTCAGAGAATT